CCAACAAAAGTACGAAACCAAGAGGAGGCGCGGGATTGGACATCAACAGAAGTTCCAACTTCCAAACAGCACGTGGTTAGAGTTTGTGATGACTGACGAGTACAATAAACGCAGAAAAAATCGTTGCTGTAGAAAAAAGGAGGTGAGAACACAGAAAACCATTTCCTTGCATTGACTTTTTCTCAACTCTATTTCTCGCCCTGTTCTTTTCCCCCTTCTATATGAGAACATCTTAATCACCATCAAATCTTCCAGTCTATACCCTAATATTTAGGGATTGGCTTAGACTCTGTTCTATATGTACTTGCACTTTATTTTATTCCTCTAAGCCTCTGTCCCCTACCATTAATTCTACTCAAAATTTAGCGAGCTTCTCTATTTACCATAATCACATCATCACACCTTATGCTTTTCCTGAAAAAGATTAACCATCTATAGTAGTAGTAATTATGTCTTTAAAGCCATGGCAGAAGGCACATCATGAACCATCTTCCTACTCTCTTTTTTCCTTTACTACTATGGCCATAAACCTAGTGCAGCCCTTCATTTGTTTACCTTCGTTTTTATTCCACCTACAATTTGTCAATTTTGTTCAGCCTTTTTTCAACAAATAAAACTCTTCAATTTCGAAACAAATGGTCAAATATTGTTTAATTAGGACTCTTTTTGGAATGATTGGTGTCCGATGAATTGCACATTAAAAGAAAAGGGTGCCCTATGATTAGCTAGCCAGGTTGGATCCTGACCCTTCGTCTTTCTTGAAATTTGGATCAAATAAAATCTACGAAAGCACCTACCTACAGTAGTACTACACTTCGTGAAACAACAACATCGTAGAGAGGTGGGAGAAATTAATAGGATGGTCCCAAAATATTGTTGAAGTAGTGACAAGATAGCCTCGGGATGTCTCTGTCACCTTCCCTTGATTAACACAGTAATGGGCTGGACAGCATGTGTGTGTCTCATGAGAGTACAGCAGGTAGGCATCACGTGTTCTTACTTTGTACTGTTTTTTTTTAGTGGGCTTCAATGCAACGCACCAACCAGTAGAAAAAAGCCCAACTAATAATAAGCCCAGTTCTGTTAAGTTAATTAGTGTTACTTTTTTTGTCAGAATTTAGGTAGCACCATTCATGAGCTTTTCAATCTGTGCAATTCTTGGCTTTCCCAGTTGTTCACCCAAAAATTTATGTTTCAGGTTCAGTGCCTATCCCATGCATGCCATTTTTCTGCAAATATTATAGCTGCAACTAAGGTAGAGCGTTGGCATATGGCTAACGAGGTATGTTTCGTTTAAGAAAAAAAAAAAATTAGATTCAAATTTTAAAATTATCTTGAATAAGAATATGTTAAATTCATTTGAATGCATTAAATCAATATAAATATTAGAATTTTAAGATAGTTAAAAGAGAAGACTTTAGTTTTAATTGACCTGCAAATTCGTCCAAATATATTAATTCTTTATCATTGAATAGAGAGAAAAAATTATATTCACTACCACCCCTTAAGATAAAATAATATAGTAAATATCATTTAGATAATTACATATTTAGAGTGAGAACCTTTTGATTTTTTTTCTATTTAAGTGTTATAATTTTTATTTTTCCTATTAAAGTGTACGAATTTTTAAATATTTTTAATCAAGTGTTTTTGTTAAATTTTGTGAAACACCTGTTGAGCCATTAAATCGACACGCCAACATATTGATATGTTTGCTATATGTGCATTAATATTCCATTTTATTTCTAATTAAGTATATTTACTCTCTCTTTTTTTCCCTATTTTAGTGCATGTATTTTTATTTTTTTCTATTTGAGTATGTATATTTTAAAAATTTTATCAATGAGTGCTAGTAATTTTGAAATCTAACAAATATAAACTTTACAATCTTATATACGCCATGTTTTGACCAAGTTAAATAAAATAAAAAATAACAAAAATCTATTCAATTTAAAAGAAAATAAGAATACAAGAATTCTTGTTGAAAAAAGAAGAAGAAGTAAAATTGCTCAATTTCCTCTCGTTCTCTTCCAAATCAAATAAATTTTCACCACTAATTATAAAAGGTAAAAGAAAGTAGCAAATTCATCATACAACAATATATATATTCTCAATAAAATCTTCAAAACACACACACATATATATATTTCCATACCAAACATCATTGAAACCCTTTTTTATTTTCTTCTGTTGTTTTTTTATTTTCTTACTTAGTGAGTTATGGTCAACATAAATTTAAGTTTTTAATGCTTTTTATTACTCCCTCTATCTCAAAAAGATTGACAATATTTTTATTTTATATGTCTCAAAAAACTTGTTTGGTGAAAACTTAAAGTGGTTTACTTTTCTAAAATACCCTAATTAAAACCAATTTTGTAAAAAATTATCCAAATACAATTTTTTTAAAAAAATGAACAAAAGATGTTGATATAATACATAATAATAAATAATTTTTTTAGCGTGTGTGAAAAAAATCAAAAAGAGCATTCTCTTTGGATAAAAAGAGTATTATATTCTTTTAGTTTGAATAAATTTTTAACTATTTTATTACCTTAATTTTTAATTTTAGTTAATTTGGTTAAAATATGACCCACAAAAGATTAAAAAGTGGATATTCATTAGATTTTTAAAATTAACAGCACTCGTTGATAAATGTTTAAAAGTAAAGATACTCAAATAGAAAAATAAAAATACACACATTCAAATAAAAAAAAATAAAAAATAAAAACACACACTCCATTATAAGTAAAGTTAAATGTTCATGCACATGTGGTAAATATATCAGCATGTTAACGTGTCAATTTAATAGTCTCATAAACATATATTTTATACAATCTAAAATAAACATTTGATTAAAAAAAATTTAAAAATTTACATACTCAAATAAAAATAAAATAAAAAATAAAACACTTAAATATAAAAAAAATTAAAAATTCATACCCCAAAAATATAATCATGTCAATATAATTCAAGAGAGTGCATAATCTTACATAAAAAAAAATGCATATTGTTGCAGAAAAGGAATTGATTCAGAGACTTTACCCTCTTTAGCCACATCAAGGAACGGAGAGGTTACTCACCCAATATGCTTTGTTTTGTCAATAACAAATCAAACAACACTTTTTGACCAAAAAAAAAAAAAAAAAGAAATTATCAGATACTATTCATCTTCGCATTTCGACTTTTACTATTGCAAACAATTTTCAATGGATACGAAAGAGAGACATTTAAAACCTCTGGATTGTGACATTCTTTTTCTTTTCTTTTGCTCAACGAAAATACGTTTTTAAGGTCTAAACAAAAGGGCGGCAGGACAGACAAAGTCAAGCGCGCAAAAAAAAAAAATAAACAGCCTAATTTTTCCCTAAATATATGTCTCCGTTTTTTTTTAATCCTATGGGCTTTGCTATTTTTTTTTTTTTGGATTTTTTTGACCTTTCCTGTGACCAGAGGGGTGGCAACTTACAAGACCAGAAGACCTCACCCCCGTATCCTTTATTTCTTTCTTTAGTTTTTGGTCTTAACAATCAAGATTTTTTTATTTGACAAGCTTTTGCATATCAATATTATTATTTTTTTCAATTAAGTCTTGTAAGCTATTTATATATAAATTGATATATTCACAATAAATTATTTTTTTTATCTTTTTTTATAATTTGAAATAAAAATAATAACATGTGGAATAAATCCACGTATCACATGAGCAAATTTTCAAAAATCATTCTTTAACACAATAGTATGTATTAAACATCAACGAATACAATTTAAAAAGACAAATACATTAATTTTGATAGTTTCTCCCAAAAATAAATGCATATTATATTCAAACCGTGGTTTTTTTTCTTAAAAAAAAACAATTATTACATAGCTGAAATTTATCATTCTATTACATTGTAATGATGATTGTTATGTCGCTTCTTGTGTTTTAAATAGCTATTATATCTTAAGAATGTTTTTTTTTTAAATTTATGCTATGTATTCACGCTTACGATATTGATATTAATTACATAAATATCAATCATAATACATAGTTATATCATTCAATTTATGTATATTTTTAAGTATTTGAGTTTTATACATTCTATATGCGACATAGCCATAACACCTACCATTGGCGACATTCGCATTCATGGTTATAACCGAACTACGATTTCTTTTTTGTCTAATGGTCAAATATATTTTTGAATTAATTTCTATATCAATTAAAATTAATTTTTTTATCCGAATAATTTTGAAATTATACTTTTCATATCAACTTGATTTATTTTTTATTTTTAAAAAATAAGGATTTAACCTCGAGTACAACTCTGAAAGTCAATAAAGAAACCGAACATTGCTGACAATCAAACTATCTTTTGAGAATCTAAAACTGTGATTTAAAAAACAAAATTCGAACATAATTGCCTCCTCCTAGATTTAAACCTGAAATAATAATAATACAAGAAAAAAAAATCATTTTTCTTTTTGACAGTAAAGAAACAATCCTACTTATTACATAAACTAAAACTAACATGGTATAAAAAGAAGAAGCATATTGACATGGAATTACAAGCTCAACATGGGAACTATCCTTCATCGTTTCCATTTACTCCTTCGTTTTGAACCCAAATAAAAAGAAAGTCTAACCTCTCCAACTCCAAATTCCAACCTGCAAAAATCTCTCTCTCTCTCTCCACACAAAACCCAAACACAAAAACAAAAGCAATCATCACGACCCAACACAGCCCCTTCTCCACTCCCACCACATAGGGCTTCGTTCCCTCTCTCTCTCTATCTCTCTCATCGGATCTCTCCCTTTTTTCCGATCCTCCCATTATCCATCCCACTTAGAACTCACAACACCCCAATCCCAGACACCAAGAAAACCGTTTCAGTTTTTTCTTTTTTGGAAACCCATTTAGGGGCATTTCCATTTCTGTTTCTATTTCTATAAAATATGAAATGAAATGCCCCCACCTTAACACTTAACCAACAATGAGCGCTCCAAAACCGGTCAAAAAATGAGCAGAAGCGACACCATTACTGACAAAAACGATAGCAACAACAGTAACGGTGAGGAACAAGTAGTAGCTGAAGAGCAAGAAGAAGAGGAGCATCAGGAGGAGGAGCATTTCTACGAGTCATTGGATCGCATTGCTTCCTCTTCTTGCTCTTGTTCCACTTCTAACTCCGACTCCGATCCTGACGCCACCCGTTCCAATTCCCCTCGTGCAAACAACCATTTTCACGACCATCATGTCAGTAATTATGATGTTTGGATCTCTCAACCCGAATCCATTTCAGAACGCCGCCAACGCCTTCTTCACCAGATGGGTCTCAGCTCCGACCCATCCCTTTCCCGCTCCAAACCCCAAACAACCCACAACGGAGATTTTTATTTTAACCGCTCGGTGTCCTCGGATCGTTTGATTGGAGAGAAACTGGGCGGTCCTGGTTCGAGTGATTCTACTCCTATCGTCCGATCGAAATCAGACGATGGCGGTGTTGTTGGTGGTTCTATAGATCATGACAATGATGAAGATGCCGATAAGTTCGATGATGATGATTTTAATTCGTGCTGTTCTTCGTCTTCTGTTTATTGTTCGCCTTCTTCCATTTTTTTGCAAGATTCGATTAATGTAAATAGTAATGATAGTAATTACAATTGTAGTAGTAATAATAATATTAATAACAACAAGCTCAGCAATAATGGGTTTGGTGTTGCTGGTTGTGGTAAGAAAAGCAAAAGCAAAAGCAGAAATGGGTCTTCTCCGAAAGAAGGTAGTGTTAGCGTTAATGTTGTTGTTTCGCCCAATAAGCCGCCTTCGGGGAAACAACATGTTAAGAAAATGGAAGTGAATCGATCGGATTCGGCGAATTCTAATGGGAATTTGAATGGGAGTTTGTCAGTTGGGAGTTCAGTGGAGTTTGCAGAGGAGTTGGAATGTAATGGGGCGTATACGGATGGGGCAGTGGTGGAAGAGAGAGATATACGGGTTTGTACTATTAAGAATCTTGATAATGGGAAAGAGTTTGTTGTCAATGAGATAAGAGAAGATGGGATGTGGAATAAGTTGAAGGAAGTTGGGACTGGGAGGCAGTTGACGATGGAGGAGTTTGAAATGTCTGTTGGGCATTCGCCGATCGTGCAAGAATTGATGAGGCGGCAAAATGTGGAGGATGGGACGAGAGAAAATCTCAATTCCCATTCTAATGGAGGGATCGGAGGTGGGGTTTCAAAGTTTAAAAAGAAGGGCAGTTGGTTTCGGAGTATAAGGAGTGCGGCGAATAGTGTGACTGGGCATAAGGAGAGGAGAAGTAGTGACGAGAGGGATACTGGATCGGAGAAGGGAGGGAGGAGGTCAAGTTCTGCTACGGATGATAGCCAAGATGTGTCATTTCATGGGCCAGAGAGAGTGAGGGTAAGGCAATATGGGAGGTCGTCTAAAGAACTGAGTGCGCTTTATAAGAGTCAGGAGATACAGGCTCATAATGGGTCTATTTGGGCTATTAAATTCAGTGTGGATGGGAGGTATCTAGCGAGTGCAGGTGAGGATTGTGTGATTCACGTTTGGCAGGTTGTGGAGTCAGAGAGGAAAGGAGAGTTGTTGATGGAGAAACAAGATGAAGGGGGTTTGAACTTGTTGTTAATGGCAAATGGATCTCCAGAACCTAATTTGTTGTCTCCACTCCTGGATAGTCATCAGGAGAAGAAGAGAAGAGGGAGGTCATCTATAAGCAGAAAATCTTTGAGCTTGGACCACATCATTGTGCCAGAGACTGTGTTTGCTCTCACGGATAAACCCATTTGTTCGTTCCAAGGTCATATTGATGACGTGCTTGACCTTTCATGGTCCAAGTCTCAGGTTAGTTAGTTTACAGCTCTTTTATTCTTTACTCATTAATTTTGTTTTTAAGGCTGCAAGATTCATCAATCATAATTAAGGTCTAATTCTCGGGTCAGTTATTTGCTTTTGTCTAGCAGCAAATATTGATGAATGACGTTTTGAGATTGGCTATTAACTTTTCTTGCTTTTTAGTGTGGAGTGCAGTGTGAATGCAAAACTGATTTAGTTATTTACATGCCATCTTATTATGATGTGGTTCCGGTGATTCTTCTCTTAATTGCATTGAGCAATTTAAAAGTTTCCCTCTCTCATGCAGCATTGCATAGGGCGTACTTTTGTTTCCAATTTCTTTTTCACTTTTGGGTATTCTTTTAAGGAGAAATTTTCGACCTTCTTCAGAGAAGGTTCAACCAGATAGATTTTTAATCACTTTCCAGTGTAGAAGTTGTGCCACTCCTTTTGCTTTACCTATATCTCATTTGAGTTTCTCATTATTTCTTTAGTGGTCTTGTTGGACAGTTTAGAGTACAAATGAGCTAAATTGCAGCTTTTGTTGAAATGGCTTTTGTCCTTGTGAGAATGAGTAATTGCAGCAAATAGATCAAATGTGGCACACTTGTTGGAGCATGGCTATATAACTATCCATCAGTCATATATATCCTCAATTTATATTCAATTGTTGATCTTAAATAACTAGCCTGGGAAGTCAGATTGGATTATAAACTTTGGGTAACTTTTTATTTACCTGAGAATTACTCGTCTCAAATTTGAGGCACAGGTTGGATGCTAATACTAGTGAGGGTTTATTTTTTATGGTTTTAGTGGTGACAATCTGAGGTAGGCTGAAGTGGCACTGCTTGGACCTTGGAGATTATCTAACAGCTATAGATTTCTGGTTAAATCCACTGAACAAGTGGTAGACAAGATTTCAATTGAGTTTCCATGAGCAGTATTCAGCATGCTATTTTTTTTTTTGACAGCTGCTTTGAGAATGATTATCTTGTTTGAGATCTTTTATGGGAAAAGAGATCTCTCAGCTCCTAGTCATAGGATCTGAAATATATAGTAATGACATTACATGAGAAATGAATAAATCCTTTGGCATTGTCTGTGCCAATATGTTGTATCTTAAAGTTGGATGAATGGCAACTGAGCGGAAACTTTGTGAATAGACAGCTGGAATCCAGTCTTTTGGATGGAATTTGCGATATTATGGCAATTTTGAGAAGGACCTCTATCTTTTTCACCACAGTAGAATTTCATGGCTTTTGGACAGCATTTCATGTTGGTAAAGTTTTGAAGATTCCTAGTTTTCAGATGCTGTGATCTGCCTATTTTGATCTCATCTCAATCTTTTATCTTGTCATTAGTTTTCTGATATCCCATTTTGATCAGTTGGCATGTTCCTTTTCTTTTTTTTTTTTTCTTTTTTTTTGTTGATTTCAATCCCACAACCTACTTTCATCCCATCATTATTTAGGCAAAGCAGTCTAGATTTTATGAACACCTGCATGGCTGCAAGAGGATTGCTGGAGTTTGTTCTCTAAAGCAGTGATGTTACGATAAACCTGTTGTCTGTTTATATTTTAACGAGTATAGTAAGACTTATTAATCATAATTCAGTTTCTTAACATATTTTTGGAGTGTACAAAAGTTGATATTTAACTAGGATTTAAGTTTATTGAACTTTTCGCTGTTAAGATTTTAGGAGGGGAAGGAAATGATAAGACGTTCTAGGATTCAATCTCACCTGGGTGCCGTTTCAGAAGCCCCCAGGAGACGCCCTTTTGTATTTATGCCACTTAAGTTTACTTTTCTCTATTGTGAAACTGAGATGATGCACATAAGTGTCTCCTTTAAGAATCATAAACTAACAGTTTATTCTTGCTTGTCCTAACCAAATTTATTTATTTCTCCCAGCACCTGCTTTCTTCTTCAATGGACAAAACAGTGCGCCTGTGGCACTTGTCTAGCAAGACTTGTTTGAAAATCTTTTCTCACAGTGATTATGGTCAGTATGTTCAATGCTCATTTTTTGTCTTGCTTATAACTTTAAAACCTGCTAATTGAAAAGCTAGTGATATAATTGCCCCACCTTTCAAGAGAAGACCTCATCTGTAATAAGCATGGAAGACAGAAGTTCACACTTAACTGCATTTTGTAAACCCTAGTTCACTAGTTCAATGACAAAGATCTAGATTTTCTTAACATTTAATGTGTCTTTTTGTAGATTGGCTTAACATTTTCTTTTGTAAGATGGTCAAAACTAGCAAAGATCTTTTTCCTCTTCTTTCCTTGAACTTTGCTAATGGCATTATTTGTATGGATTCTCATGATGCAGTAACATGCATCCAGTTTAATCCTGTTGATGATAGATACTTCATTAGTGGGTCCTTAGATGCAAAGGTTCGCATTTGGAGTATTCCTGATCATCAAGTTGTTGATTGGAATGATCTGCATGAGATGGTCACTGCAGCTTGCTATACTCCAGATGGTCAGGTAGTCCACTGTTTGCCTTTTGTAAATAATATTCAAAGCTTTTGCTTTTTTCGCTTAACAAATTTTTATTGTTTTCTGAAGGGTGCACTTGTTGGTTCTTACAAGGGAAGTTGCCGTTCATACAATACATCTGGTACAAGTTGATTCTTACTCACCACTCTCAAAATTCACGCTCACTGACTGCTAATTATTCTTTTGTTGTTTGTCTTTGCTTCTCAGAGAATAAGTTGCAACAAAAATGTCAAATTAATCTGCAGAATAAGAAGAAGAAAGCTCATCTAAAAAAAATCACTGGATTCCAGGTAATTTGGTGACTCTAGTATGATGTACGACTCCAGAGATAACGTGTTTAGTTTACCTTTGAAAGAGAAATATTTATATTCTTTTTCGTGCTACATTTTTTCTTGCAAAAGGCACAACCTGCTGTTCTTCTTTTGCACATGTACCTTTTATGGTGCTTTCTGTCCTCTGATGAGTTTTACTAAACAGTTTGCCCCAGGAAGCTCATCAGAAGTGCTCATCACGTCGGCTGATTCTCGAATTCGAGTTATTGATGGTGACGATCTGGTTCACAAGTTCAAAGGTAAGAATGTTGGCTTATCATTTCTTTTCTGGTTTTCTAGCCAACTTTGTAGTGAAATCATGGATGAAAATTTTATTTTGAAACCTGACTTGGACGATTAAGTTGATAATACCAAAACATTTATATAATGAAAATACTTTGAGACAAGACTTTTTGGCTCTGTGAAAGAGCAAATCTAGACTTAGTCCATCGGGTCCTTGATTTATAGATTTAGAAAAAAGCTAGCATTTACTACATCCTTGCACATCATGCCTATGGTGGGACTGAAAGCAACACCACCAGTTCTTTTCTACACAACACTGTTGAAATAAAAGTTCTTCTGGTTCCAAACCTGAGTGAAACCTTAGCAAACTTCTTAAACTCTGTTTTGGGGCATGCCTTGAGGCACGTTGGTCTCAGTTTGCCATAAAGCTTAAAGTGAAATTTCTAATGTGCATGTTAACGTGGGAGGCGAGGTATATGCTTGCTGGTATGAGGCCTGATGCTGAGTTTCAGCTGTACATTTAGCTTTTTGTGATCGAGTTAAAACGTTGCTACTCCTTTGTGGGTTAGGCGATTCCAATATAAGTATATACAGGCTTCTTTTGGTTTATTCCTTTTTTTTTTTTTAAATTTTTTTTTCTAATTATCATTCTTTTGGTTTTTCTTTTTGAAATAATTGTGCTTATTTTTTTAAAAAAAATTATCCACAATCTTTACTTTATGGAATGTTGATTTGTCATTAAGCACTTCTTCATTTACCAATATTTTCCTTGGTTCTGTTAGTTACATATATTGCTTCTATACTTTGTGTAAATATATTCTTTTAATATAACATCTATTTAAATGCTTAGTCTGTATGTGTGTCTGTGTAGAAATTCACAAGGCATATACCTCATGAGGGGTAAAATACCTCTCTCTACACTTGCCTTTTAAAATGTTATGCTGAAGCAGTGAACCCTACAATTTCCTGTGGTCTCTTTTGAGCGCTTCTGAAGGGAGTTCCTTTTTGAAGGGAGATATTCAAATATCGGATGGAAAATTAAGAGGACGAGAACTAAAATAATGTTCATTTAATTCTCCATCACAGTAGGTTTTTCTTTTCTTTTCCTGCTTATCCAAAAGATGGTGAAATAGGATTCAGGCTTGTTTATGCTGTTAAAATATCCAGACTTCTAGTTTTAAGATAGCTAGGCTTATCATGAAGACTGAGTGAAGGTTATGTTGCCCCATCATATCACGTATGCTGTATGCAGCATATATGTTCCAGATTACACAATTCTGGATCTTAAGATTGAGTTTGAATTTTGGGTTTTTCTGGATGTTAGAGGAGAATTTCTGCAGTTATGCTGTGGGAGTACAAAGATCTTTTAACTCAATTATGCTAAATTCTAGCTCAAGTTTTCATAATGTCTCAATTATTTTGGTTTGCCTAGTGCTTGAATACAGGCTCGTAATGCTGTGACAAAAAAGCATGATGGTCCTGTATTTGTGAAAAGAGGATGAATTACTTTCAGATCATAATCTTCTTGAATAAATAAATGGTATATTTGTCTTCATAAGTGGAATCTACCATCTCACCAGCCCAGCCCCAGCCCCGGCCCCCCTCTCAAAAAACAAAAAAAAAAAATCCCAGTAAAAGGCTTGTGATCAGTGACTAATCAATAAAAGTTGATATTGTGTTGTTCAGTAGAAATAAGAACAAGTTTGCTCAAGCACAAGAGTCTATGGGAATCAATCACATAGTTTTTTGTATGAGGAGGCAGTAAGAGAGAATCCAAGCCAAGATATATCTGAGCATTTGTAGGATTTTGATGATACACAGACAATCAAATCATGGACATTTTGAACATAATAACAGTACTTAAATGATCTATTCTGAGGTTTTGACAACAGTGATGTGATATTGTTTTAGACTTCTAGGCTTTAATACTGTTTCCTCAACTTTGAAGGTGCAAAACTTCTGGAGTAATAATTTGATATTGTAGGTCTTGAACAGAAACGAATTGATCCCTTCAGCTGCTGCAATGCTTTTTCAATCAGCAAAAAGCTGAAAGGCTTTTTATGATCGTCCATTTTACTGCTTATCATACAAAATCATATATTTGCAGTGCATGTTGTCTTTGCTCTTTTTTTCCCCCGCTTTCTTATGCATGCATTTTTAGAATTGTACAATTCTCAAAGATTAAGCTGATGATGATTCTGTGATAGGGTTTCGTAACACCAACAGCCAAATCTCAGCTTCCCTCACAGCAAACGGAAAATATGTGGTCTCTGCTAGTGAGGATTCATATGTTTATGTCTGGAAGCATGAAGCTGATTCGCGACTTAGCAGAAGCAAAGGTGTTACTGTCACATGCTCGTATGAGCATTTCCATTGTCAAGATGTATCAGTGGCGATTCCATGGCCTGGCATGGGAGACACTTGGGGCCTGCAAGATACTTTATCTGGAGAACAGAATGGCCAAGATAACCATCTTGATGAGGTTTCCATTGTCAATCACCCCCCTACTCCCGTTGAGGAGGCAAGTAATGAGGGTTCACAGTCTTTATCCGGGTGCACAAATAGTCCTCTTAATGGAATTATTTCTAGTGCAACCAATGGTTACTTCTTTGACAGAATATCAGCAACATGGCCGGAGGAAAAGCTTAATTTAGCAACTAGAACAAGGAGTCCTCATGCCAGTGTGGATATCTCCAATGCTTTAAGCCAGAATGTGTCTGCCTATGGTCTGGTGATTGTAACTGCTGGCCTTCGAGGGGAACTTAGAACTTTCCAAAATTTTGGATTGCCAGTTCGAATTTAAGGAGCTGAAAAGAGAATGGCAGCCTCTGATTCGGGGGGAAATGAGTTGGCAAATCAGTACAGTCCATTTTCCCCTTTGGTTAGAACGTGTACAGAGATGTTTGGTGAGATGTGTTATGTTAGCGAGTTCCAATTCTTCTTTCCTTGTGCTTCAGCTCATCGGACGTTGAGTGCAGATGGATAGGCACTCCGTTGAGCGTTGAGAAGAATATAGATTTGTTAAACAACAAAAAGAGGGGGGGGGGGGGAAACTACACCATGAATTTAGAAACCGATGTATTTGTGAAGTCGGGAATTGTAGAGTTATGAGGATGGCAAAATCTTATTCAATTAAAATGAAATTCTTTCATATTCTTCAATGATCATGTAGTCTTGTAGGTTTTAAGAAGTATAGTCTTGCCTGGCCGTCCCAATCGCCATCTATGGAGATAATTTAGACATTTACAGTGTAGTAGATTGGCTTCTCACTATTTGAATCTTTTGTCATTAATCCTATGGGTGTTCTAAACATCTAGTAAGGTTACATCCCAAAAGTAACCACATCTTGTTGTAAACTTTGTCACAGAATCACATTTTCATCAGCTAAGAGGGCCACTGTTGACCATCCATCAACCCATAAGCTGAGAGGTAGCAGGTGATGTTAGAGGTGTACCTGAACCAAAACAAAACCAAATTCTGCGGAAGCCCATTGTGGCTAGCAAGACCCAAGCCCATTTACGTCCCCACTCGTGGGTCTGGGTCATGGCCGTAGCTGCAAGTGGGGACCCTCTAATTTTGTCATGGCTCCAAGCCTGCAACCAATTCCCTAACCATGGAGAGGCTGGCAAACCTTGGCTCCATTGGGAAGAAACGCCCTAATCCAGAATCCAAAAATACGCCCCCACCATCCCCTGTCATTGTCAACATTTTCAACATCTCCCAGCCCATAACTCAGAGGAGTGGAGCTTTTTGGGAAACGGACCAAAATATCCCTAACTATTCATGCCCACTATCATAGACAGGGGCATAAAAATAATGCCATTATATCATGGGAAATCCAAAACTCCAATTCTCATTGGTTGCCTGGAAGCAATGTGGAAGATACATTTACTGCTAATAACCTTATCCTGTCTGCCGAACATATCCTACCCCCTAATATATACACACATCACGTAATATGTCTTCCAAACACACTCCCCTTTACTCTTCTAAGCTGAGCTGTTCACTTCCCTCAGTACTGTAAATTTAATCTATAGTTCTTATAACGAAGGACTTGAAAACCCAATTTGAAGAGGTACACGGAGTTTGCTTTGCAAGTGGGAATGGCTCTCCAGGCTGCTTCTTTGGTTTCCTCTGCTTGTGCTGTCCCCAGAGAGGTTAGATACTGGTAGTACTTTGTTTTGCTTTTTACTTGCTGCATTAACGGAAAATTTAGGGCTGATTTTGGCAGTTGTTTTGACTATGCAGGGAAAATCTAGTGCGTCTTTGAAGGAGTCAAGCTTCTTTGGATTTTCACTCTCAGACCATGTCAAAGCTGACTTTAGCTCTTCTGCATTGAAGTGCAAGGTAGCTAATATGCCAGTTCATTCTTGCATTTTTTTGCTGAAAATTGCATAATTTGTTTCTCAATTTAAACTCTCAAACAAAATGGGTTTTCTCTAATGAATTCATTTGTATGATCTTATTCACTGCAGAGGGAATTCAACCAAAGAGTTGGGGCTGTAAGAGCCCAGACAACGGCCACTGCAGCTCCAGCAGTCAACATGGCTTCCTCAGAAGGCAAGAAAACTCTTAGACAGGGATGTTGCATTGTTACTGGTGCCTCCTCCGGATTAGGTCTAGCAACAGCTAAGGCTCTAGCTGACACTGGAAAGTGGCACATAATTATGGCCTGCAGGGACTTCCTCAAGGCAGAAAGGGCTGCTAAATCAGCTGGCATTGCCAAAGGAAACTACACCATTATGCATCTGGACCTTGCTTCACTTGACAGCGTCCGCCAATTTGTGGATACCTTCAGGCGATCAGGGAGGCCACTTGATGTGCTAGTTTGCAATGCTGCTGTTTACCTGCCAACTGCGAAGGAGCCTACATTCACTGCTGAAGGATTTGAACTTAGTGTCGGAACCAACCATCTGGGTCATTTCCTCCTTTCAAGATTGTTGCTTGAGGACATGAAGAAATCTGATTACCCATCAAAACGCCTCATAATTGTTGGCTCAATTACAGGTATATACACTATAATTCCCTTTCTTCTAGGATTATGTTTCAATTGTTTGTGCTAAAGGCGGTGTTGTTTCTGTGAAATACTTTAGGGAACACAAATACTTTGGCTGGCAATGTTCCTCCTAAGGCCAATCTTGGTGACTTGAGGGGACTTGCAGGGGGTTTGAATGGGCTAAACAGTTCATCCATGATTGATGGTGGTGAATTTGATGGTGCCAAAGCCTACAAGGACAGCAAGGTCTGCAACATGCTCACCATGCAAGAGTTCCACAGACGTTTCCATGAAGAAACTGGGATTGCATTTGCTTCCCTTTACCCCGGTTGCATTGCCACAACTGGCTTGTTCAGGGAGCACATTCCCTTGTTCAGGCTTCTATTCCCTCCGTTCCAAAAGTACATCACTAAGGGCTTCGTCTCCGAGGAAGAATCTGGAAAAAGACTTGCTCAGGTAGCCCAAAAAGGGAAAAACTATATAACTAAAAATACTTGGCCATGATTCTGTATAACATGCAATAACATTATGCGTTCTTTCTTGTTTAGGTTGCGAGCGATCCAAGCTTGACAAAGTCAGGGGTATACTGGAGCTGGAACAAGGACTCCGCTTCATTTGAGAACCAGTTGTCTCAAGAAGCTAGCGATGCAGAGAAGGCTCGTAAAGTATGGGAGGTTAGCGAGAAACTCGTTGGTTTGGCCTAATTGAGAAGGGCTGGAGAGAATTTCCTGTCGACTAATCTTTCCCATGGGGGAGGATAGTGTTAGTGAAAAAAAAAAAAACAGTGAGTCCTCCTGTGAGTGTGGAGTTTGGATCCGGATGATTTGTTTCTGTAAACAACATTCCCTATGTAGAGTAGATGACTTTGTATCAATCAACTGACAATAAAATCACTCACTCACATTGCGATGTTCAAATTTCTCTGGTTACTGTGGCAGTATCAACTTCTTGAAATCAGAAAAGTTTTCGTGCAATTTGAAGAGATAAACACACAAGTTTCATCCATATAGACAGCCAATAACTAAAATAGAACCTCCCAATCCGCTGACACGAATCAAAGGAACCCTTACTTTTGACTACGAGGATAACAGTGGCTTGAAAACGGAACTCTTACTCTTCATTCCCACATTTTCAGACCAGACTGGAGAAGTTTCATTTGTCCTGTTAACTACTTCTGCCATGAACAAACAGCGTTCATAGACAAAGAGAGACAAAGTATGCCTTCCCCATGGTTAACTGACATAAAAAGAAAAGAGGTTAATGAAATAAAAGTTCATTTACGATGTCTGTCCTTGTTCGTACAATTCCTTATTTTTATATCTTTAGTTGGATAGAACCAGAGAACTGCACAAGACAACCTTGTAAAAGATGTAGCTAATCACATTATATCAATATGATGCCCAAAAGCAAAACTCTTTTGCACAACATTCCCAACCGTGCGTTCTACACTTGCGAAGAAGGTAAGTCAAAAGGTCGGAGCCAATATATTAAATAAGCTGAATCCTTTCAAATATATACAGACAGTGTCAAGGTTCACAAACAAACATGATATCATACATCTAGCTAAACTTAATATTACATGTCAGTCTAAAGTTCATATGCAGGGAACCTGGCTTCAGATGGTTCAAGCATGTCAAGAAAGAGACAACACATTCCTCCAACACCCTCAAAGAGTGAATAGGGCCGGTCACCTCCATGCATCTTCCCTTCTGATATAAGTTTGTGTGCTCTATCATGTAAAAAGCATGCAAATGCTTTGGCCCTGTATAAGTACTCTGCATTACCAGTCAACCGGTAGAGTGAAAGGAAAACATATGCATTCCCGCTGATGCCATGACATATGCCAACTCGTCTTAGCAGCCCCCGGTTCCAAACCACCTCCCCTGCATCCATAGCTGCCTGCAGAAACTCCTTATCTCCAAAAACCTGAATAATTCAAACATTGCATAGAAATTCATAATGAGGACCCAACAGCATTTCTACATTACAAATAAGACTAGAGATTATGGTCTTGACCTGAAGAAGAAAAAAGTGGATGCAGCAACTTGTTCAATCTCATGTTTTGAACTTTTAGCACAAGAAAAATTAATGCTGACTTTCCCACTTTGTGATAATAGTTCTTGCTTTACGAGACTAATTAAAACTTTTTCTTCACTCTTAATATGGATGATATCAGAAATGTCATCAAACAATGAAATAGTAAAATGTCCATTTGCATGAAAAAATTGGCATTAAATCTTCAACTATTGATAACTATAGCAAGATAAAATCAATTATCTAGCTTTCTATAAACATGAAGTATTTTTACTAATATTTTCTTGGCAGGTAGGCTTAACCAATATGCACAAAGACAACGACAACCCACACAACCAGTCATGTCTAGACAAATTCCATTAGCACCTAAGCTCCCTTATGCAACAACTTTGTCCAATCAGTTTTTAGTGAACATTGAAAGTATAAAAGGATTACCTCAGCTGCTTTTGCAAGGGTAAGAGCAATCCCAGGAGCCCCATGACACCAATGCACAAGACGATCCGATTCGTTTCCTTCACTTGAAGGATAATTGCCACTGGAAAACCTGTTCTTAATCATGTAGCGTAATGTACTCTTGACATCCTCCACCTCATCTGGTTTCAGTCCCATGTCCATCAAAACATGCATGATCCCAGCCAATCCATGGGCAGCACCCCAGTACCTTTTTCCATGCCATTCATACAGCAATGGACATCTTCCCTTGCGTGCCAATCTTCCAGCCTTAATTATTTCATCCACAACTGCTCTCTATAGAAGTTTCAAAGCCAACTTAGCAGAGGGTTCATTCTAATTAATAACAAAAACTGGATTGAAAAGAAACTAAAGAAATGTCTTACTTTGTGGCTCGTTGATATGGTTTCTTTACCAATGTGCTTATTTAGAAATGAGCAAGCCCATAAGAAACCAGCTCTCCCATATAATAACTCATACGGCAAATCACTAGGAAGTTTGATCTGCTCTCAAGTAAGATCAAGAAAATTACATAAATTAACATTTACAGAAGCAACCAATTTTTATGGGGGAAAAAAATGCCTATAGGGGGAAAAAATGCAACAGGCACCTCTTTGAACTGTGCTAGGTAATGATCTAATAGCCTTCCATCCCCAGCATGCTTTGCTGCAACAGCACCAAGAGCACAAACACCAGCCCGTCCACATATAAATGTCACACGTCTGCAATCTCAATGGATCACATAAGCAACCTAATCAAGTTGAATTATGAGTTCTCCCCAAGGATTGGGAAGTTAGACCTAGAATTTGACCTATATTTGAATTTAAAATTCAGTGCTGACTTCTAACATATTGAAAAGTTTGAGCTTTTACAGTGACAATCCCGGTCAGGATCAAATTCACAATTGCGTGGATGGACACTCCAACTAATTTGAGCATTTCCACAAACCAAATAACCAGATACAAGATGCTAAATACTAATAGAAGGCAAGACCCTGTTACTAAGTGTATTATTCCGTTAACAACAAAATAATCAAATGCAACAAAACACATCAACGAACTTCAGATTGCATATAAATTTACTCCCATTTAACCTCAGAGAAAGCTGGAATTTAGTCCACGGTTGTTTGACCTCAACTCCCAGACAACTCAAGCAACATCAACACTAATAATACCATAAAAAGTCGCACCTAATTTTGGATGAGCCAGAACACAAATGGATAGAGAAAAAGAGAGAATACCCAGAATCTGTAGAAGCAGAATCACAAGCCTTGACAATCTCAGAGCACAGGTTAAGATCATTTTGATTCTTGGTAACTTGGTAAGCTTTAAAAAGCAAGTAAGCAGTCCCCAATGCCCCAGTGTACAAACTATAATCTTTTACCCTCTTTCCCCATGTCTCCCTCACCACCTGAAGTTAAAACACAACCAAAAACAAAAACCCTTTAATAATTAACATTTAAAAAACTAAAGTAACATGTTGGGGTGTGTATGAAAGTTAGAAAACAAAGGAAACCCAGAAACCAATAACTTAACTGTATCTTTGAGGCCCAAGGCTGATGCTTTAAGTCTTTGAGAGAGAGTGTTGTAAGGCAAAGACAGGAGCTTTGTGAGTGAGTCTCCGTTGTTTCTTTCAGCGACTGTTGTCGTTGTTGTTGTTTCAGGCATGTGGCCTGGCATTTCATTTGGGAAGTAACGGTCTCCCATTTCTCTATTTGCAACACGCTCCTACACTGTCTGTCTGAAATAGTTATCACTGAAAAAGAACGAGAACCTTCGAGCTGGGTTGCGAATGCCAGCTGTAAGACATGTCGTTGGTTATTGAAGCGACATGTTGCATGGTTGCAATGCAACGATGCCAACAAATAGGCAAATTACTGAATTGTAAAGCCCAACCAATTACGCATTTACATGAAACATAAAAATAAATAAATACATCAACAAAGTAGTTATTAAAAAATTTAGTTAATGTGTCATTTTTCTTTTCTTTATACTGATAAATAAAATCATTTTCTCCTGTAAATATGGTGTTTTTTTTTCTTTTATCTTGTCATATTTATATATTTTTTGTAATTGCTAGAATTATTTTTTAGCCAGTTTCGTGCCCAATCTGCAAATAAACTTTGTAAAGCAAGCAATTCCTAATATTTTAGTTACATAAATGATTTAGCAATACGCTAATGTGATTACTGGGCTCGAGCCCATCATGTAGTGGGCTTGAATTATTTAACAAAAGGCCAATAGACTAGATTGGGCCCACAGCACTTTCCATACCTTTCCCCTCTAGGTTTTTATCAGGGTTTTGCACTTTTGCTCTTCTTTTACAAAAACTTGTTGCCTCTGTCTCTTTCCCTCTGCAGCTCGCTTTCTCGTCTTCAGGTACTAGCCCTCCTCCTGCTTAATTCGATAAACAACTAAGCACGAACTTTAAGTTGTTTTCTTGGTTTTGAAGCTAAAAGTTTCATGGGTTTCAGGTATCTATACGTAAACGAACAAAGCAATAGCCATGGGAAATAAGAGAAAGCATATTGAGACACAGGTCATTGAACCTGCAAAGAAAGAAGAAAGTGCATCAGAAAGACCCAAAAGGACACTCTTTGGTTGGAAAGACAAAACTGAAGAGAAAGAAACTGACCCTGTGCCTCCTCATCAGGGTAGTTTTAGAAATAAAGAGAAAGTCTTGGTTACTTGTTCAAGGCGTATCAATTTCAGGTTCCATGAAGATCATTTTTTTTTATAGTATATTTGGATGTTGTATTTCTGGGTTTTGTTGGGTTTTTGGGAGTTGTTGGTGTTTAAAAGAATTGTTGGTGTTGCAGGTATAGGCACTTGATGTTGAATTTGGTGTCACTTTTGCCACATTGTAAGAAGGATAGTAAGGTTGAGTCTTCAAGTACTAAAGCCGCGACGCTGAATGAGCTTGTTGAGTTAAAGAATTGTTCTTCCGCTTTGTTCTTTGAGGTGAACTTCAAATTTTTTTCTTCTTCCTTTTGACCTAATTAATTGCATATTATTTGTTCAAGTGATAGTGGGTTTAATAGCTATGATAACTCCTCAAATGAATGATTGCTGTTGGTAATTGTTCCTGATATTTGCGCAGTTTAGTAAATTGAAGGAAAATAACTCAGTAAATCTGAGAGAAGGCCTAGTGATTATGTAAATATTGATTTTCAGAATAGGAAAAAGAGAATGAACTTCAGTTTCCTTATTTTAGATTTTTAATTGGTGATGATTTTTCTTCTTCTTCTTTCTCTCTCCATTTCAGTGCAGGAAACATAAAGATTTGTATCTATGGATGGCCAAGTGCCCTAGTGGTCCATCCGTGAAATTCTTAGTCAATGCCGGTATGGTATTTTTCTTTAAAATTTCTAATGATGTGATATTTTTGGTAATCATATTCTCTAATATGCATAAACTTCCCCTGTTCGAGTATTAATATTTGTAGCATCACACTTTTTGTACATGCATTTAATGGGTGTTGGGAAGGGGAATATAGCCAAATCATTATGGAGATGTACTATGTTTGCTATGATTTGGAACATTTGTGAGAATCAAAATTTGAAACTCTCCAAAAAAAAAAAAAAAAGATTTAAGCAGCTGTTATGGTATAGAATAGTCTTTTTTACTTCTTGTGGTATTTTGGTTTGGGAGCATCTGAAACATTTGCCTTTCATTGATATTCAGTGCGACTGGAGAACTGCTTTCCCCAATCTCTTTGATGCTATTTCTTGTACTCTTCCATGGAGGATACCCTTTATTTCTTTTTGTAATTTGTTTTTGTTCGTCCTGGTTGTATAATTTTTTTCTACAGGAAAAAAAAATGAAAAAAGAAACAGAAGCCACAGTTGCAGTAGTCTAATAAATTGATTTGCTCACATGGTTAGCTCTTTTCTTGCTTTTTGAGTAAGTAGTCTAACCAATGCAACTTGTCTTGTCCATTGCAGTGCACACAATGGAAGAATTGAAGCTTACAGGAAATCATCTGAAAGGGTCAAGGCCTCTCTTGACTTTCTCAGCTAATTTTGATAAAGATGTCCACTGGAAACTCATGAAGGAGATGATCATTCAGGTATTTTGATTTTTGTTTCCCACCTTAGAAGCAACACTAATCTGTGGTCTATCTTATAATGCATGACTGAAACAACCAGATTCTTCATTCTGTAAAAGACATAATCGTGAAGTACATATTCAAAATATATTCCAATAGTAAAGTCTGCCAGGAAATATGTTAGCCTAATATGATTGATATTCTTGGGATCTACCATGCATGCAATATTACAAGTGCCTCTCTCTCTGTCTCTCCCACACACGTACACATCTTATGGCTTTGGTCACAACACTACGGTGATAGAGATGACCATTTTTTACCATTTTGTTTCTGGTGCTGTGGTATCAGTGACATCCATGAAGCAATGTTTTAGCTTACAACCTTGTGGTCTGTTCAATGCATGAATCCCAATCACTCAAATTTTTCTTTCGAGATTGCAAAATGCAACTTCTGATTTTACACATGTGCTATATCAATTGTTGCCGATGAAATCTGCTGCATGTTAACTTCAAAAGTCTTTGTATATGATACTTACACATTGATTTTTTTGCCTCTTTTTTCCTCAGATTTTTGGGACTCCAAAAGATCACAGGAAGGCTAAGCCTTTTTATGACCATGTCTTTGTTTTCTCCATTGTTGATGACCATATATGGTTTAGGAATTACCAGGTAAATTACCCATTATTTGCAGAAGTCGACTTTTATTGAAGCATTTATGCAATTTCTGCTTTCAAAACTAGATATTTTGCCACTTTTTTCCAGTACATGTTACACAGAATGTTTTTGCTAAATTGATGCTTCTAACTTAGAAACAGTAACAAATTAATGAACTAACCCCCCTTTGCAAGTCGTTCAAGCTAGAGTTTTACATATGAAGTGGTATGGGCTTTGCTATGTTGTAGATGGAGGCATATCGGTGCAGAAGACCTTTTAGTTGTATGTGGTATTTTGGAATCATAGCAGATGTGCTACATTTTACTCTTGGAGTCCCTAGTCAGAAACCCACATATGTTAAAATGTTATCCTATTCCTTTTCTCTTTTTTGAAAATCTCCTAGGCTGGGATTTCTATTAATTATCAAAGCGGATTGGTTCTTTGTACCCTTTCCTGATAGATTTTGCCTAACCTTTCATATGTGGGATGTTCACCTTGTCAGATTGGATCCATATTAGTTTGGAACCTTAAGCACTGCTATCAACCAAATAGTCTGCTCATTGGACTTGCACAATGCCCAAATTCATCATTGGACATATTTATGCAGGAAAAAATCCCAAGTAGTAGTTTGCATTACTGTAGTAGCTTCATATAATTAGGGTTTTTTCCTTGTTTATTTATGCACTATTAATTAGGGAGGTTTGGACTGCTAAGATTTAGTTATTTTTAGGGGCTAGGATTTCGTTTATTTGGGGTTTACTTAGCATTTAACAGCTGCTACTGCTGTAATAAATCACTTTTTTGATATTTTCATAAATGTATATGAAAGACTCCTTTCTTTTCTGGCCATTCAGCCTTGATAACTAGCCTTTGGCTGCATTTGTTATCTTTTGCCCTTTCTTCCTACATCATATCTCCACTCTCATGATAGCTGTATATTCCTATGTTTTATTCCTTCTTTTATTTATATTCTTAAATTGTCTGCTGCATTACTTACAGCCTGCCTTAGAAATGAAAGGGATACAGAAATTGATTATTAGAGACTGGTTCAGCCATCCAATCCTACTACATATGATTTATAACTGCAGTTATAGAGATACTAAACTTCTGGTGCTCTTGCAGATGCAGTGATCAATATTACTTGAGTATTTTGCACATTTAAAGATGTTAAGTCTGTCATAGTAAAATCTGTACTGATGAACACACAATGTTGACTTCCATTATGACGCGGGATAACTGTCTCAGGTGGAGCTACCAGAATCCTAAATCACCAGTTAGAACCTTGTTATTGTCAATTACGGATACTCAGTCCCAGTTCTTAGATTTCAATGCGAACAGTAAGAAATCTTATTTGTGTGAATCGCTGAGTATCTTTTAATAGTGCAAGGGTAATGTGATGTAGAAAACAATTCTAGACCCCATAAAGTAGTTGCAAAAAATGAGCAGATGCACTGCTTTCAAAAAATACCTGAATTTTTAAGCATATGTATGTACCCGAACTTTTATGCACAACACTAGTTGCAATTGCATACAAGGATCATGGAAGTGTGACGTTTGGAAAGCTTTCTAACATTTTGAAAATGTTTTTCGTACCCCTTGTTTTTATTTGTTGTGAAGCTTTTTTTCCTCCCCGTTTTCATTAATTTTTGAAACTAACTCATAAGGTCTCTTTTCCTTGTTCAATACAGACATCTGTCCCTCATAACGAAACAGATAAAATAGCCCGAGGAGGCCTGGATAAGATGACCCTTGTTGAGGTTTGCTCTGATGTACTTTTGAATTTGTGCACACAATGAAACACCTACAGTAGTTACTTAATTTGATATAATGGTTTCATGCAGGTTGGTCCAAGATTTTGCTTGAACCCTATCAAAATTTTTGGTGGCAGCTTTGGAGGCCCAACATTGTATGAGAATCCATTTTTTGTATCCCCTAACCAGGTCAGAGAGTTTTTTCTACATGTTAATTTTGATTTTTGGCATCAGATGTATGATTAACTTCGCTTGAGTTAGTGAAGAGTTCCTCCTTTGATGAGCTGTAGCAAAATATCCACCATTTTGATGATTTTCCATAGTGCTAAGTTTCTCGTTTTAGCGAAAACCATCAAGAATCTTCTTGCTAGATTCATGGTTGAGTTTTTCCCCACTATTGGGTTTACCTAATAATGAGTTCGACGCATGTTCAAGCCAATGCGACCATACACTGTATTCATTTACTGACCTTTTTTTGTTCAGAGGTTATTATTAGGTCTTCCATCCTCACCTGCTGTGATTATACATAGCCTTTTCTTTCCCTTTCTCTTGTTTCAAATATTTTGGCATCAAGAATGTAATATGCTGCTGCTTTCCATTCTTGCAGATTCGAGCACTGCAGAAAAAGAAGAAGGCTGGAAAGTTCGCCAAGAAAGTCAAAGCCAAGACAAGGAGGAAGATGCACGAGCAATCAAACCCACTGGAGCCTGATGAATTTGCAGACATGTGGAAGGAATGATGCTCTTCTCCTACATGTGTTGTTCTTTTTATTATATCACCTTGTATCCTGCGTGAAAAAAAACTTGGTTCATTTTGGTATTTATGCCTTCATTGGCATTCGTTTTTGTCCCTCCTTGGATTAGGTTATGCATTTTAATCAAGTTAATATTCATGGCACAGCTTAGATTTCTTCAGAGTCTCTATCCAATCATGCGGCAATTAATTTCATCCTGCAACTCTAAAATCTAACCACCAATCATAAAATGTTTTTACAGTTTTTGCTTTTGTGAAGGAGATTCTGGGATGACTATTTGTTGAGCAGCATGGCTTTTGGCTTTACCCTCTAATCCTCAATAGTTCATGTGTGCAAATTCAGATTGGTCTTACAGTTTCATGACTTGGCAGAAGGGATTCTACCCGAGGTTTGTTAGAGGGTTTAAACTTTGAAGGCTTCATAAAAAGCAAAATTAGATGGAAGAACGAACACTGTGGGCACCGATTGAATATGTATCACTCTTTTCTTATTGAAATTTGTACCAAGTGAAAAGAAAACAAACAACAAATACAAACAAGAACCAAAAGCAAGGAAAGAAAAGCGAACGGACAGACCGCGAGGAAAATAGAACAGTTCGGAAGATGCTAAATAGGACATTTTGTAAAGATCCTAGCTGATTTTTGCAGTTCTGATCTGGTTAGAAGTTGAACACAACAAATTCTTAGCTGTGTGATTCCCACTCGGTCCAGTTAGCTTCACTTCCTCTACGGGGTAAGCTATTGATCCGTGTGTAGACATCAACCTTGAAATTTGCCCCACACAGAACTCCTTCGCTGTCTGTCCTTGGCATTGCTCTAACTTTGTTCATTGGATGCTCAAAGCTCATCAAACCTCCTTCACTATGGAACATAAACCCTACACATCCACACATAACCCATCATCATCATCATTTTCATAACCCAACAATCATCATTTTGATGAGTAGATCACACAGACAGCGTTTTCTCATGTGGTAGAGAGATGGTAATGATGCAAATCCAGATTGTGCTAGTAATGGCAGTCCACCAAAAACAGGGAATGTTATTTGTGAACTGTGATTAGCTTAGCTATTTTCTTAATATGACAATTCAAAGTACCTGCTGGGAAGGGAGCGAATGATTTGGCACAGCCTGCTTTTATAACTTCCAAATCATCAGATATCACCACAGAACCATCTGCTGCAATACCCCAGAACAGCTTAACTCCACCATCAGAGCCCTGAGACCATAAAATTAACTTAGAAGCAGGACCAAGAAAATCTAACATGCTTGGATACGATTGCAACATGGCTCATTAGATGGTATTAACCAATAAAATGAACCATTAAACATACGAGTGCTGCAAAAACATTTCCAGCCGTGCTATCGTAGATAACAAAAGCAAAGCTCCCATCAAGATCCTTAACAACTTGATCAGCTGGATAAGGGCCTCGATCGCGAAGGGTCTTATAAGCTTCTATCACAAACATGGCCTCATTAGTCCCCTTTGTTAATCCATACTGCTTATTGAGTGTGCATAAGTTGTTTAAGCTTCCAGAGAAAAGGCAGTATATACCATCGAAACCACAGAACAACCTGCAGAACATATATCATCAAGAGGATAGTAATTTAACAATCTGTTGATGAATCAAACCATATATAAATATTTGTGTAATTCAATTTTAAAGTAGGTACCTTTGTTGAGAAGAGAAAGGGTTGTCTTGGGGAACATAGGCAAGCGCAGCAGCTTGACCAAAGTTCATTGACAAAGTCTTCTGAGGGTGGTGAGAAAGGAACTCATTGAGTGTTTCCTCGGGAAGCTTAGGCCTCTTGGTACCATTTTGAGATGCTGGACTACTAAGCTCCTCAGGTGGGTTAGCAAAAGTTTTGTGAAATATTGCCAACATTTTCTGATCTCTCTTTTCCAAGTTTACACTTGCACTAAAACGGATAAAATTCCCTAAAATTTATGCCTTAGCTTTTTGTTTAAAGAGTTGATACATGATCGCAGATGGAGAGGTGAGCATCAAGGTATTTTCTAGTATTTATAGGACCACTTTGAGACATTAAGGTTTTTTTTTTTTTTAAGGTGGAGATAGTCAAGGTATTATCCATATTAGGGGCGTGGAACTTAGTGCGAGTGAGGATAAGGTTTCTCGTACTTCGATGGAGGCTTATCTCAATTTGAGCTGTTTCTTGTCTTGTTTCTTAATTCACATTTTTCCTATTCCCATACCACACCTGATGTATAAGTTGCTGTTTGTTGCTATCTTCCCTCTTTTTTGTCAATGTTATTATGGGTTTGTTGATAATGCTGTTCTTAATTAAGTCAAATCTGAAAAATCAAATCAACGCAAACGGTAGAGAAATGAAGAACCTTGCTAAAAGAGGAGTGCTCTGTGATTCGTAAAGAAGAACTATGATGGAACCAAATAAATAAACAAAACAAGTGCTTTGCACATAATTTTGAGTGCTTTTTTTTTTTTTTTTTAAATTTTCAGGACCATATTCTATAAACACCGGAATTTCAGTTCATTTAAAGGCAATAGAAAATTTTATTTTGGGAAAGGGACAACTCAACCGTTGAGTATTTACTTGATGGCTTTAGGTCTAAACTCAATAATGGTTGAATCAACTCAACCTTTATTATGTAATCAAAAAACTGTTTGTAATTTGACAGCTTATGAAAAGAAAAAAACAAAAAAAAAAATAACTTTTTGTTCGAGCTAGTTTATTTGGGCATAATTATTCTTTTACCCACTCCACATCCAACAAAATATATAAAATTATTTTAAAAATAATTTTAATTTAATGGTATGTGCTATACAGTGAGTCTTTTAAAATATATAAAATGAAAAATAAAAAAAATTATTATATTTTTTTAATTATGTATTCAACTAATTATTCATTATTTTTTTATATAATTTTTTTGCTAGAAAAAACATGATTTATTTTTTTATATTCAAATTCTTAATTAAAAATTTGTAAGAAAATTCAAAAATTCATGGATTCTTAACTAAAATTTTTTCTTAAAGTTTTTTCTTCAAAAAAATTTGCGATAAATTTTCTATAAACACCTATATATATATATGATGAATGCCAAAATTAACTTAAATGTTTTTTTAAAAAATTAAATAAAACCAAACCTAATAATAATAATAAACCTAAAAACAAAAGCTCATGAGAAACTTGTCTTATATAAATAATAATAATAAATAAATAAATTAGAAAACAAATATGGGGAAATTTTGGATTATGACAGTGCACATGAGATTTGATGTACAATAACATTAATAGTAAACTCTTCACTTTTTTTTTTTTTTTTATAATGAAAGATATTTCTTTTGGTGGAATTTTTTTTTTAATATCTATCAAACATAAAAATATTTGAGTTTTTTTTCTTCATAAATATTTAAATCTCCCCATACTCTTTTAAAAGTAGATTAACGTAATATTTGTTAAAGAAGGAGCTATAATACTCTTTTGGAATAAATTTTTAAACAATACAAATCGTACAACCTTTTCGAATAGTATAAATAAAAAAGTCTAAAAAGTCAAAAGATGCATGTATTTTTGGTTCTTTGGTTTATAATTAGCTATATTTTCCAGATAATGTTTTTAAGCATTTTCAATTTTTTCTTAGGATGGTAGTTTGAAACAATATAAACTTTAATAACATGTGATAAATGAGGTTTGGAAGCTTAATCTTATAGAAAATGATTTGCTCCCCATATGTTATTGAGGATTTGAATATTAAAGAACAACGAAACAAAATGGATATATATATATATATATACGCACATACACACACGTATATCCGAGTTTAAATAAGCAAACTTGTTTAAAATTTGATTGAAAAAATTATAGTCTTGAAGTATAAAAATTAACCATATACTTAATCATTAATTTTTTTTAAGTATATTTGAGTTTAGATAATCAAGATTTGTTTAAAATTTGATTGAAAGAATTATATAGTCTTGAAGTATCAAAATTGACCTTATCCTTATCATTAAAAAAAAAAAATGGATTCTATTTTTTAGGGAGTGAAAATTGAATTTGAGATCTTATAAACGTGAAAGAAATAATAAATTCTATTTTATCGTACTATCATTCTTTTAGCTTTTCATAGAAGTTTGTGATTGAAAGTTTTCATATAAATTTTGATCTCCAAAAGAATAAATTTGATAGCATCAAATTAATGTCTTTTTCTCTTTTGATACAAAATTATATAAAAAAGAAAACAAAAAAAATGAAGAATGGGCTATTGAATTTTGGTACTAAACAAAGTGGCCTTATTAAAGCGAAACTAAGAAAAGAAAGACACAAATATAACTTTATAGAAACAGTAAAATGGCAAAGAAGCAATTAAAAGGAAAATTCAAGGATGCCAATAAACTACACACGTGGAGCATTAAATTCAGAAAACTAGTTAAATCAAAACCAAGAAAAAGAGGGCATAAACGTAACTTGATAGAAGCACCAAGTGGCAAAGAAACAATTAAAGAGAGAATTTAAGAGCGTCAATAAACTGCACCAAACAAATTTAAATAAACAAATAAAAAATAATGTAAGAAAAGTGACAAATCAAGGACGCACAAAAATCCAATCAGAGAAAGCAGATAATGGACAATCAACAAGGGCTGAAATTTAGATTACAAAGAATATTATTGAGCCATAATGAATAATATCGAAACAGCTAAAACCCTACGTCTTTTAGAGTTTTTTATAGTACCACATTAAGTGTATCAAATTCGTACACTTAATTCCAAACAAAAAAGCTTGATTTATCTTATGGGTATTTAATTTACTTTAATTCGTGTTATTTTATGGATTATCTGGTATTATTTTTGTTATTTATTTTTAAAACTATTACGAAAAATGAAAAACCAATCTATCACATTTTTTCAGAAACAAACAAAATGATTTTAAAAAACTGTAAGAAATTTTAAAAAACAAACAAAATGGTTTTTAAAAATAGTGCAAGTGATGGTTGATTTAAAAAATAAAAATAAAAAAACTAAACAATTAAATTTTTTGCTTTGTTTTAAAAAATTTGAAAGAAAGAATAAACATAAAAATAAATGATACCAAACGGCCTATTAATTTATCAATTTTTGACTGATGCTTTGTCTGTTTCATAATCTTTTGAGTTAAATTTTGAACGAGGCAACTTGGTTACGACATGTCACTCAGTTTGCATTAGGTTTCTAGACTTTTTCATTTTAACAATCCTTTTTTTTTTTTTTTTTTTTTTGAAAAAAAAATAATCAAAATTGAAAAAACCTACGTGGAAGCATGTAGTCAAAACGGCTTCAGCAATTTGTTTTTGTTTAAATTATAATTTGGAGTTTCTTGAACAAATTGGATACGTTTGGGAAGGTGATGGAACTGAAAAGGCTTATCCAAAATGTCGTAACCGTGACAGGGATAAGGTCCCATGCAAAGCATTCAGCGTGCTTGTTCAACTATTCTGTGGGTGGTTTTTGTCTGCTTTGGCATACTGTATTTTACTTCGGTGCCTACAAGTGGCAAGTACAATATATATACTCAAATATGTTTACGCCTTCTAAATCTTTCCTTTCATGCAATTTTTTTAGAAAAAAAGGAAAAAAGTTTTCCTTTTATCTTCCCCTTAGGCCTTGGCTGTGGGTCGTAGTAATTTCATTTTTTATATAGTTGATTAAAAAAAAAAATCTCCGACATTACATTGAAATTTTACAAAAGCATCCATTCTCAAACGGGTCATAGTATTATTTATTTCTTTATTTTTTATCTCTTTTATTATTATTAAAAAAAAACTAAAAGAGTTGAAATGGTTCACTATTCACGACAATATTCACTTGGACTCATATGCATTATTCATCCAAGACCTATACATACCATTTATTTTAACTATGCAGTGAATTTTCATGATTTTTTAGGCTTTTTTAGATATTCGTATATGAATTTTATATCATGTTTCATTTTGATCTCTCGGTGTTTCTTAAATTTTTTTGCTTTTGCTTTTTCTTTTTCTGCAATTTATTTTAATTTCGTATACAAATTTTATATCATGTGTTATTTTTGGTCTCTAATGTTTTCCATACATATTATTGGTTTTTTCCAATAATTTATTTAATTTTCTTTTTATTGTTGAATTGGGTGTAAAAATTATGAAAAACTATTTTTTTTTAATTTTTCATATATCATATTATAAGACTCTTATTGTTTAAAATTGATTTATTCAATTTTTCATTTCTTATATAAATTTTCATCAAATTAATTTTTTTATTTTTTAATAAATATAATTTATTGTTATTATTATTAGTTGTATCTCGTCGCTATTTGACATTCGCAAGACTCTAAAAAATTTATTGATTTATTATTGAAAATTTTGTTTATTCTAGGATATAAGCTATTATTAATTTCAAAGTTGTCATCTAATATTAAAGGTAACTAAGAACCTAAAATGGACATTGGTTCGTAGATTCTAAGATAGGAAGTTGGTTAAGCTTTTAGAAAGATCTCAATCATCAAAACGTATTATCTCCTAGGAAAGATATCATGTCTAGTTTAATCCTAAAATTTATCTACCAAAAAATTTATATTTTTGCCAAAGTTGATCGTGATTCAAAATTTCAAGTTTTATTTTCTAAGCCAAATTATTATTTTTTTATTTTTGTTTGTGATATCATATTGAATCGATTGTCGGACCCCTTCGTTAGGCATTCGTCAATTCAACATCGGATTCAATTTAAGTCTTGATATAACATATATGTTGAAGAACAACCTAATTACTAAGATGAGATTGATTTGAGTTAACATCAATCCTTATTAGATTGCGATGAGACTTTGTAAATTTTTCACCTAGCATTTTCTATCTCTTTTTTTTTTTAATTCTTTTTTGTGTCTTTTCTCTTTCTATCAT